TTCCACGCGTGCGACAAAAGAAACAGGATAAAAAGAAGAAAAGGGAACGACAAAAAGACTATGTTTTTTAGTAAACAAAAAAAAAAGGTTTCGTGATTTGGTAATTGGCAAAAATAGAAATCATATAACGGCTTGCCGGCAGTAATTAGGAAATCCTTCAGAAACTTCAGTCGGGAGATGCTGGAGTTTTGTGGAATAGTTTACATGTCCGGTCAGCGAATGGTATAGTAAACTGGCTGCTTTGAAGGAGATTTCTACAACAATCGACTTCGCCAGCCAAGTCGCGTAACTTTGACGCTAACCAACGTATACGGATATAATAGACCGAGCACATCAAAGAGTTCCTTGAAGTCTTTTATCTAAACGACCCAGAACTCGGAGAAGTCTCATTCATAAAAATAGATTCTCTTAAATATAATTAAATTTACCTCAAAATATTCCTCGTTAACCAGCTGAGATATAACTGAAAAGAAATGCTACATGAGTGGTATGTATGTCCAAACTGTTGTTTTTTTTTTTCTGAAATGTTTCTATTTTGTTTTCTCTTGAAATATTCTGTTTGCATAATCATGTATGACAAGTTTCTTATTGTGATTCCTTCCTTTGTATTAAGCGGTATTGCTAGATTGCTTTTTATATGAATTCTGGACTGCTGTGTAATATCAATACTCCAATATGGCAGTGGTTTGGTTTGGTTTGGCTTGTTTTGTTTTACGGCATGTCAACTTCAATAGGCTTTATTTAATGGTGACAAGATTTTTACTGCTGGTAATATTTTTTCCAAAAATATATTATTAGTAATATTTTTTTCAAAAATGTATTACTGGTAATATTTTTTTTTCAAAAAAGTGTTACTGGTAATATTTTTTTCAGAAATGTATCGCTGTTAATTTTTTTTTTTTTTAAAAATGTATTACTGTTAAAAGTTTTTCAAAAATAATATTGCTGGTATTAAAACCCATTTTATACTTCTAGTGTTTTACCCCCATTTTTTTTGGGGGGGGGTAACTATTTTCCTATAGCTGGGACCCTAACAGGTGCTACCACCCTGAGTCAGGCTGGACCTGGGAGCTCCAGCTATTAAAAGGTTGTTTCTCGCTTCTCAAACCTCCTGATCAAATGCCTTGCTGTCGGATGTAGTTTATCGTCTTACCCAGGACACGGATGCAGTTTATCTCCATACCTAGGATAAAACATGACAGGGATTTTCGCGCGGATGAAGAGAAAATCTGAGAAAATGTTGTTCTATAGAAGGATGTCGAGAATACGATGGACGGAGTGTGCAAACAAAGAGGAAGTAATATTTTTTACACTTTTTACAAGTGGACTATTGTCCTCATCTTTGTTGTTGTTGTCGCAACGTTAGAACTGTTGTGAAATTCAAACGGAAAAAAGGAAGTATTCAAGAAAATGGAACGAAGAAGGACGCTTAGAATCTGAGACAATCTGAAATTTCTCGGACAGAGAAGTAGGTGTTCACCAGGTGTGTTGATCCGAATAATCTACAGGGAATTCCGAACTGAACCCTTTATTTAATCTACGACGGTATACTGTTCTCCTTCCCTTGCCAATGTCTAGGGATATCTTGTCTAATTCGCATTTTTAGTACTTCTTCATTTGATTAAATAGATTGGCTCAAAAGGATAACATAAGTCTTACTTTACTCATATGTCGCTAAGGTTGAGATCAAATGCAGTTTTGTTAAGTTCTGATGAGATGTTATCGTCTATGTAGCAGCCTATGTTGATTCGGGAAAGAGTTCTTTAGTGAAAAAATAATAAACTGGGAAGCCATTTCATCAGTCTCAATATTTTTTTTTTGAATTCAGAAAACCAATCTGTACATTTAAATAATAATAATATTAATAATAATAATAATCTAAGAATTGTGGCACATGGGAACATCAACAATCTCTGTTGTAGTTGGAGCACTAGGATTGGTTGCAAAAGATTCCAGTAGACTAATTGAAGGGATTCTTGGAAGTCAATGCCTCAAAGAGATACAAAAATTGTTCTCACAAGTACAGCCAACACTTTACGAAGGGCTTTATCCATGTAATTTTTTTTTTCATCAGTCGAAAATGTCATGATGCCATTTTTAACCTTAGGTTCCTGGGCGGGACCCGGAAAGAAATGTGTAAACACCAGATATCAAAGAATAATAATAATAATAATAATAATAATAATAATAATATAGTCAATAGTCTTTCGATACAGAAACAATGGCAAGATAATCCTCTTCATGATTAATAATCTACCCGTACCAAACAATCTGACGTAGACAAAACCCGTACCCATCAGTGGCTACGGAGTGCAGGGTTGAAAGCTGAAACTGAAGGTTTTATCCTTGCTGCGGGAATAATCTGCCTCGTCAGTCATGTATCGAAAGATACATGATCACCTAAGCATGTATCACGCATGGCACATAACTGACTGGCTTATGGAGATTAAAATACAAATCTTTATTCTAATTTCTGCTTGTTCATTTGTTAATTTTAAATATAATCAGAAGATTGTGTTGCAACATTTTTCCAAATATTGAGAGGATTTCTTGAAACTTGTTTACTGGTGTATCAATTTGAATAACTATAAAAAATGGACAGTATTTCTTTAAAATGGTTATATACTTTTGGTATTACATTCACTTACGTGCTAATACCCTTGGGAAACATATGAATCCTCTTCTTCTCTCCCCTCCCAGCTACGGGTAAGTTACAGGACAGACCGGGTTTTATAACCTTAGATGGCAACTGGTCTACCACAGAAAGAAATGGCAACCTACTGCGGGAAAAAAATCTGCCTCGTCAATAATCTATTCAAAGATACATCACCTAAGCGTGTATTACTCATGGCACATAACAAACTGACTTCTGGAGATTAAAATACCAATCTATTTTTATTTTCAAAGTAATGGTTACCTACCTTATGTTTATATGAAATGAATCAACTTTGTCAATTCTGAAACCACCTGACCAATGATACTGCTGCTCTTCATCAACCACTTTTACACAGAGGAGGGTGTCAAAGTCTACCCGTGGCCAATGAAACGGCATAGAACATTTAGGATGTGCTATCAGGAATCGCACACCACTTTCTAGATCATTAACAGGACAGACCGGGTTCTATAGCCTTTGATGGCAACAGGTCTACCGCAGAAAGAAATAGCAACCTACTACGGGAAAAAAAATCTGCCTCGTCAGTCATATATCGAAAGATACATGATCGCCTAAGCGTCTATCACCCATGACACATAACAAACTGATTGATCATCAAACTTGCAGATAGAAAAATTAATTGAACTCACAATGACTATATCACCAAATTTCGCAAACCAAAGCTTTAATCCACTAGGCTATTGTCCTGTGGGACAATTCTCTGTGGAGAATTAAGAGTCTTAAACGTTACCTGCCTATTGATGAGTGCTGCTGCTTCCTTGTCATGCTTGACTGCACTCTTTGGAGCTTTTCTCTTCTGTTAGTGCTGCTGCTGATAACAACAAAGATGAGGACAATAGCCCGCTTGTAAATAATGTAAATAATGATGACTCCTCATTTTAGAGAGACTTGAAAAATTTGACATTCACTGGCCATATCGAAGTCAAAAACCAACAGCGGGTCACCTACCTGACGAACTTTTGTGTGTAGATAACGGAATAGGGAGTGGAAATTAAGGCAAAAATTAAATATCCCTAAGAGCTACAAAAGCTAGGCCGTTATGAAGAACAATCATCGCCCCCCTTCTCAAGGGACACGGCACATAGAAGAAAATGTTTTCTGGTATAGCTAAAGAGCTTTTATAAAGTTTAGTAACGGAGAGATGTGGCAATGTACCAAGTCCTTTCAGGACGTAGGCGAACATAGCTCTCCACAATTTCCCGGCTTTTGTAGCTCTTAATAGATTGTGTATTTTTGTTTTCTCCTAAACCCTGTTCCGCCATCTATTTACTCAAGGTCGTTACGTAGGTCATTCGTTTCTTTTGCCTTTACCTTCAATCTGTCATTTGAGTGTCAAATTCCCCAAACTCTCTTTCCTCATTATATGGCCTAGAAATTTCAACTGTCACTTTCCGATGTTAAGTCCTTTTTATTTTCCATTTTCTCTAAGACTTCATCATTGTTCAAATGTTCAGTCCATGCTATTATCAATATCGTTCTGTAGAACCAGATTTCTGTTGCTTCAAGTCTCTACATCGTCTGTGAGGAGATTCTGCAGTATTGGATGCCATAAAAGAGGCCTGATATTACATAACAGTTCAGTGCTCTTCTTTGTTTCTAACGATTTATGTTTACTTTTAATCATGAAATACACTAAAAAAAACATTTTCCTGGTTATACTCTGATAAAATGGGAGCGCGTCTAATTATTTATTCTTCTACAGTGCACCCAGAATGCAAATTAAATTTTCAGTTATATATTGGTATCGTGTGTGTGTGTGTTTGTGTGTGTGTGTGTGTGTGTGTGTGTGTGTGTGTGTGTTGGTGTAGTTGTGTTCTACGCTTTTTTTTCATTGCTTTGTTAGCATTTTTGTTCCTGCTATTTGTAACTGTTGTTGTCGTTGATTTTTTTTTTCCCGTTTTCTTTTCTTTTTTCATTCTTTTTCCAAATAAAAAAATCTTGGCCGTAACTTATATTTCATTTAATTTTCTTTCCTCCTCTCTTCCAAAAATTTTCCCTGCAATTTTCCTTTTTAACACTTCTTGTCCTTCTACTTCTTTTCTCATTTTCTTTTTTCTTTCTTTTCCCATTCTGACGTCTCTTTTCATTTCGTCGTTCTTCATCGATCAGTTTGCAATTATTCTCCTTGTTGTTCCTCTTGTTGCATCCATCTTGCATTTATTCGTGCCTCTTTTTGGTTTTTATCATATATATATATATATATATATGTAGACATTACCTTTGCGTGTGTTGTCTGTTTTAACAGTAACAAGTTTCCCTCCGACAGAGTGATTGGCTATATTGTCAGTTTTTTTTGTTGTTTTTTTTTTTTTTTGCCTTGCATTAGTCGGCTTAAACTTCAACTCCGCCCCACGGAAATCGAACAACACCGCTTGCTCTTCCTTGAAAATATTTTACTCCCTCTGTCTTTCTCTCGGAAATCGAACAACACCACTTGCTCTTCCATGAAAATATTTTACTCCCTCTGTCTTTCTTTCGGAAATCGAACAACACCGCTTGCTCTTCCTTGAAAATATTTTACTCCCTCTGTCTTTCTCTCGGAAATCAAACAACACCACTTGCTCTTCCTTGAAAATATTTTACTCCCTCTGTCTTTCTCTCGGAAATCGAACAACACCGCTTGCTCTTCCTTGAAAATATTTTACTCCCTCTGTCTTTCTCTCTATATTTATGACTTTCTCATTCTCCCTCAGTCTCTTTGAACGAGTCTACGCGCGTGTGTGTGTGTGTGTGTGTGTGTGTGTATGTGTGTGTGTGTGTGTGTGTGTTACGTTCATAGCTGTTCGATTGGAGCACCTCGACGTGGTGTAATGGTTCTCATGCTTGTCTCGCTGAATCAATTCCGACTGAGTAGTGAGTTCGATCCTCACCGAGTGACCCATACTTTCGGCATTGGGACACATCTAACCTACGCTTAGAAAATCATAAAGAAGACACTGTGACGTGGTGTAGTGGTCTTCAAGCTTACTCGCTAGAACAATTACGCCTGTCTAGTGAGTTCGATTCTCACTGGGTGCTCCATACATTCAGCTTTGTGACACATCTAAGCAAATCTTAGAAAATCGCCATAGGTGTTTGATTGAGAGAGATTCAATTTCAATTGAGAGTGTTTGATTGAGAGAATTTAGCTCGTATTCTGACGAACTAAATTCCTTCGTTCCACCAGTTCAGACCTTTACAGCCAAGACCCACCATGCTATCCCCTTCATATTTGCTTAGTACGAAGGAAGTTGCACTCTGTCAGCTTCTTTCCAAGGGCCACTGCTTCATGTACTGCACTTCAAATCCGGAGTCAAGCGTCATCTATCCAGCGTCTCCTCATAATCTAAAATGTTCAGAAAATAAAACTATTCAGAAACGAAGTTTATCGACGGGCTACTGACCTTATACTGGGGGAGCAATTCAGTTAATCAAAGATAAGTTTTCTATGGATGAGAGTTAAGTTTCTTGCCTCGCTGGCCGGATAAACCAGATAAAAATCACAATGTCACCCGCTGATTTTCTAGACCGCTAGATTCGGGGAAACACTGAATATCAGATAATATCTTCTTTTTTTAAGCGTTTCACCCCAAGCAAGGCGGGAAGCCACTGGGACGCAAGGGGTTACAGAAGATTTGGAGCAAGATCAGATAGGAGTGATAGAGGAAAGGATGAGGAGAAGGATAGTGGATAGATCAAGGCAACTGGAGATGCTGATTGACATTACATTTGAATAGTTGGAGATTATAGCTCTCAGGGAAACTGGAATAGGGAAGGGGGTTCCACAGGCGAGAGGTGCGAGGTAAGAAGCTATTGGAGTAGAAGAGACGGCTACATTTAATAGTTTCGACAGTGAAGGGATGAGAGCGGGATGCCAGCCTCGTAGGGCGCTTGAATTCATGAAGTCTGGGAACCAGCGAATACAGCTCCTCGGAGCAATTGCCATGAAAGTCTTTGTAAAAAAGACAGAGAGAGGCGACGGCGCGTCTGTGAGAAAGTGACTGTAGACAAGATGCCAGATCAGGGCCAATTATATTGCATATCCGCCTCTGGATCTTATTAAGAACCCCGAGGCAAACAGAAGGGGCACCAGACCATATTCTACCATGAATTATGTAACGTGGTTTTTATTCTTTTGCAGAGAAACTGCTTGGATTGTGAGGTAGATATTATCAACGCCTACAAAATACACGTCTAATTCGATATACTTTAAACCTCATGAAAATTAAGTGTTTGATAATACATGCCACAAAGGACTGTCGGACTACCACTTCAAATTGACATATTTGGAAAAGATATTAGAATCATTCAGAAGCTATACTGGCAGAAAACCGCCTGCATACGAGTAGAAAATAAGTTCAGGGGGCACGGTAGAATAATGGATAGCGGCTCGGATTGAGAAATCGGAGAGCCGAGTTCGAATTCAAGTCGAATACATTACATTCACTTACGTGTTAATACCCTTGGGAAAGGGATGAATCCTCTTCTCCCCCAAATATGGGTAAATAGCAAGACAGAAAGGGATCTATAACTTTGGATGGCAACTGGTCTACCGCAGAAAGAAATGGCAACCTACTGCGGGAAAAAAATCTGCTTCGTCAGTCATGTATCTTTCGATACGTGATCGCCTAAGCGTGTATCACGCATGGCACATAACTGAACTGAGATCTATTTTATAGATGTATAAGTCATTTATCTTAATTTACCATAATTTTACATATAGTAGATCTATTTGGGGTGGAGGTACAGAGGAGTAATGGATAGCGGCTCGGATTGCGGAATCGGAGAGCCAAGTTCGAATTCAAGTCGAATCCAATTTCATTCACTTACATGCTAATACCTTTAGGAAAGGTACGAATCCTCTTCCTCTTCCCCCAGTAAATAGCAGGACAGACTGGGTTCTATAGCCTTTGATGGCAACTGGTCTACCGCAGAATGAAATGGCAACCTACTGCGGGAAAAAATCTGCTTCGTCAGTCACGTATCGAAAAATACATGATCGATCGATCGCCTAAACGTGTATTCACGTATGGCATATAACTGAGAAATGTACAAAAGATAAAGAGGTGTAAGACAATGATGTGTCGTTTCACCGGACTTATTCAAATGTTACGGTGATGCGATTCTGAGAGAACTAAAAGTCCTACCAGGTTTCATTTTCGATGTCCACAATCTTAACAAAATAAAATATGCAAATGACACGGTGATGATACCAGAAAAAGAAAAGGAACTGATATTAAAGTAATGTATTGAAGCAAAGCTAAAAGAAAGAATTAAGCATAAATTCCAAGAATAAGGTATGCATGGTTGTCAGAAAAAAAAAACAGCCTAACATGGAAATTGGAAATACCAAAATCAAACAGGTACAAGATTTTAAATATCCAGAGAGAGTTTTAACAGTTTTAACATAGAGAATAGAAAGTTCGACACCAAAATTCGAAGGCACATTTGGATAACCAAAGATGCCTTCCCAAAGCTAAGCAAAGAATTAAGAAACAAGAACATTTTGTTAGAAATAAACAAAAGAATAATGAACCTATATGGCAGTGAATGCTGGAAAATCTCCTCACAGATGAATAAGATACTTGAAGCAACGGAAATGTGGTCCTACAAAAGGATGCTGAGAATGATATGTGCCGGACATGTGAACAACAAAGACGTTTTAGAGTAAATAAAACAAAAAGGAAACTTATACATAACATCAGAAAAAGACAGTTGACATTTCTAGGGAACGTAATGAGGAAAGGAGGCTTAGAAAATCTTATTTACACGGGACAGATTGAAGGCAAGAGGGAAAGAGAGGAAAAAACGAGTAACATCCATAGTGAGCTTGAGTAAATGGCTAGCAGGACAGAGTTTAGGAGAAATAGCAACAAAAAAAAAGATTAGTAAGAGCTACAATGGACAGGAGATTACGGAGGGCAATCATTGTCAATGTCCTGAAGAGACGTGGAACATAGAAGAAGTCAATGTCAGGAAAAACTTTACAACGATGATGATGATATTTTCTACGTTTTATGCCACAATATATATATATATATATATATATATATGTGTGTGTGTGTGTGTGTGTGTGTGTGTGTGTGTGTGTGTGTGTTTATTTAGTGTTATGGGGTTCACCCTTTTCGGATATAATGGACTCGTTCTGCTGCCATAAAATAGCCACAGTCAGGCAGAAAAGATGAGTCGTACATGAGTCGTTTGTAAGTGTCGGTAGTCGGATAGAGTGAAGTAACCTCTTGTAGAAGTCAGTTACAAGCACGTAGACTCTAAGGAAGTCCTACTTCGAGACTGTATATATCTATCTGTATTTGCTACTAACCGTGTTCCTGGATTTTACTAACAGCATTACCTTTTGTATTTTGTGTAAATACATTTAATTTCTTAGCTTAAATACTTGCGTTTGCCATTTATTGGATACCTATTTTTCACGCGGGATCCACAACATTTAGGCAGCATTTTTTCATTCATACATGTTTCATTAAATAATATAGACAAGTGTTGTCGATTTATTTTATGTAAATTCTTTTCATAACGTCTGATAAGCTTAATAACATTATCATTAAACGAAGAAAGAAAATCACAATATTGATACATATTTTACAACGATGGCTGGCTGACAAACGCTGGCCGATGAGAGGCGGCCGGGAAAAATTCACTGAAATGATTGGCTGACGGATGTCCAACGACCAACTTTACCAGAAAGGCTGACTGACAAAGGCTGATCGACGAATAGTTGTCGGGAAACTTTACTAAAAATGCTGACGGAAGACTTATCAGACTGAAAGACGAAAGAATGACGAAAAACTTGACTGGAAAGTATGGCTGACAAAGTTAGATCGACGAATACAGTTTCCATGAATGCAGTTCCAATAAATAGCAGCGAAGGCACGTTCTCGAATTTTTCCACTGTTCATTCGGGCGTGCTCACGAGAATCTGCCGATGCAAAACTGGAACGGGATGTAGGGTGATCTATAATTATATATTTCTACACTACTTGATATTGATGATGATATTTTCTACGTTTTATGCCACCAAATATTTGCTTTTGTTATATGCCAGCAAGTGTATAAAAGACCATTATATTACACACACACACACACACACATATATATATATATATAAATATGTGTGTGTGTGTGTGTGTAATATAAGCATTTTTCATTCATACATGTTTCATTAAATAATATAGACAAGTGTTGTCTATTTTATGTAAATTCTTTTCATAACGTCTGATAAGCGTAATAACATTATCATTAAACGAAGAAAGAAAATCACAATATTGATACATATTTTTTAATCCAATTTAAGCTTTCGGCTTACATAAGCCATTATCAAAGATGACAAATTACCATACAATATATTAAGCAATACACGGCATATGTGATGATAGTCTGTTTCTGTTTACATGGATGATTTCCAAGCAACGATAAACACGTGCATATAAGGCACTGGAAGCGAAAATCGCATCGCAGCTTATAACGTCACACATGACCACGCGAGAGTGAATTCGAGAAGTATTAAGTATGG